CTGAAGAGTTTTAGAGCATTCTGAATCCCCTCAAACATGACAAAGCGACACCATACACATATCTACAGCGCCAAGATAGTGCTCTGTATTTGGTGAGACCAAGTCTATTATGAGAATGCACTTCAATACTTTAACTCTTCTCCTTTAAGTCATGGTGCTCGTGTTTTCAATAGATAGACAGATTTAATTATGATTTGCAGCAATATTTTTTTTCAGTGTATTAAAAAAAGTTTGCTTTAAAAAAGTATTAAAAAACTCAAATAACTTTAGATTACTTAAATCCTTAAGGTACATGAAAAAAGAACCTTAGAAATGTTGCATTAAATATTTATGATTTGTAAACATTTATTAAAATGAACCAAAAACGAAACTTTTGCAGTGTAGAAAAATCAAAGTTTATGATCTACTTAAAGTAAGATTAAATATTTCTCTACATCCTGTGGAGAGCTGAACAATTCACAAAAACATATAAAGACATAAAATTTAAATGGGAACAACTTAAATGAAATTTTATTTATGATTATTATTATGACTAAAACATTAAAATGACAAGAATATGAATTAATTTAATAACACTCTAATATGGATATTTGCAGATATCATGGCATCTCTGTTAGTTAGTTTTCTAATTTGTTATTTTATGCTAACGCCATAAATATAATTATTATGGAAATTTTTTTGTTATTTGCTTTTAGCCAGCATATACTTTATATTATATTTACCATTCCCCCTCCCCCCTACCAGTATCAGTGCTTAGGTACTTAGTCCGATTTATAAGTGGAGTGACAAATTTGCTACTATTTGCTAGTATGAGTGTTGGTAATATTTTAATTTCAATTCTAATCTAAATAAATAATTGTATTTTATGTTTCTATTTTATTTATGTAGAAATTAGAGTAAAACAAAAATTATATGAAACATAATTAGAAATTAATTCTACATTTATTAAAAGAGCTTATTTGTATTTATGTGTTTCAAGTACTTAAACTAAATAAACATAGTCACACATCATAATTTCCATTTTTTTTATCTTTGGATAATAATAATATAAATTGTTCAGAGGTTCACAAACTGTTAATATGGAACCAATGTAGATAACAGGGAAATGGTCAATATATCAAAACATTTTGTGAAAATCTTTGTTTAGTATTACAACCATAGGCATGAAATGGGGTCTTAGTCCTACTATGATAATTGGCTTTATAAAAGTGTAATTAGACTAATGCTTCAATAATCTGATGGACTTCATTGGACAAAAAGTACAATATCAAACTATTTCTGGTAGTACAGTGTACATGCTGCTTGAGTATAAGTGCTGCCATGTCATAATGTTATAGGACTCGTCATCAATGTATACTAGACACATTGGAAGGCTATACACAATCATCAGACGTGTTCGATCGCTTACCAGACACAGAATACATCGGAAACTATGGCGCCAATAGGGCATAACATATTTATCGACACCCAGAAGGCAAAATCAGGTGATAAAATGTAATCAGTCTTAGATTTAGTTGGATTTATTGGATTGTAATACAGTTTTAACCGAATACTACCGCAGAGATAAGGTTTACAGCAAATGGATATCAGGCTACCCGGCAATAGACGATAGTTAACATGATGAATGCAAAATCAACGAGGACAGAATGAAAAATATGGGTGAGACAATTCCATAAGCACTCCTCAAGTCTGAGGAGGTACTAATAATGGCATGTATTCTCAGTGGACACACAGGATTACGAATTCACACGATTTTAGATAGTGAAACCCTGGAGAACTTTATTTGCCATTGCCCGCACGAACTTTGATTGGTAAATTCTTAGGAATTACTTCCAGGAAATTGAGTTTTTGAACATCGGGCGATAATGTATTCTGTGATTACTATATGAAGCTTTTGTTTTTAACAACAAACATTTTTCCATGAAAACAGGCTAACTAGCAGTTAGTTAGTTAGTTAGTTAGTTAGTTAGTAGTTAGTTAGTTAGTTAGTTAGTTAGTTAGTTAGTTAGTTAGTTAGTTAGTTAGTTAGTTAGTAGTTAGTTAGTTAGTTAGTAGTTAGTTAGTTAGTTAGTAGTAGTTAGTTAGTTAGTTAGTTAGTTAGTTAGTTATAGTTAGTTAGTAGTTAGTTAGTTAGTTAGTTAGTTAGTTAGTTAGTTAGTTAGTTAGTTAGTTAGTTAGTTAGTTAGTAGTTAGTTAGTTAGTTAGTTAGTTAGTTAGTTAGTTAGTTAGTTAGTTAGTTAGTTAGTTAGTTAGTTAGTAGTTAGTTAGTTAGTTAGTTAGTTAGTAGTTAGTTAGTTAGTTAGTTAGTTAGTTAGTTAGTTAGTTAGTTAGTTAGTTAGTTAGTTTAGTTAGTTAGTAGTTAGTTAGTTAGTAGGTAGTTAGTTAGTTAGTTAGTTAGTTAGTTAGTTAGTTAGTTAGTTAGTTAGTTAGTTAGTTAGTTAGTTAGTTAGTTAGTAGTTAGTTAGTTAGTTAGTAGTTAGTTAGTTAGTTAGTTAGTTAGTTAGTTAGTTAGTTAGTTAGTTAGTTAGTTAGTTAGTTAGTTAGTTAGTTAGTTAGTTAGTTAGTTAGTTAGTAGTTAGTTAGTTAGTTAGTTAGTTAGTTAGTTAGTTAGTTAGTTAGTTAGTTAGTTAGTAGTTAGTTAGTTAGTTAGTTAGTAGTTAGTTAGTTAGTTAGTTAGTTAGTTAGTTAGTTAGTTAGTTAGTTAGTTAGTAGTTAGTTAGTTAGTTAGTTAGTTAGTTAGTTAGTTAGTTAGTTAGTTAGTTAGTTAGTAGTTAGTTAGTTAGTTAGTAGTTAGTAGTTAGTTAGTTAGTTAGTTAGTTAGTTAGTTAGTTAGTTAGTTAGTTAGTTAGTTAGTTAGTAGTTAGTTAGTTAGTTAGTTAGTTAGTTAGTTAGTTAGTTAGTTAGTTAGTTAGTTAGTTAGTTAGTTAGTTAGTTAGTTAGTTAGTTAGTTAGTTAGTTAGTTAGTTAGTTAGTTAGTTAGTTAGTTAGTTAGTTAGTTAGTTAGTTAGTTAGTTAGTTAGTTAGTTAGTTAGTTAGTTAGTTAGTTAGTTAGTTAGTTAGTTAGTTAGTTAGTTAGTTAGTTAGTTAGTTAGTTAGTTAGTTAGTTAGTTAGTTAGTTAGTTAGTTAGTTAGTTAGTTAGTTAGTTAGTTAGTTAGTTAGTTAGTTAGTTAGTTAGTAGTTAGTTAGTTAGTTAGTTAGTTAGTTAGTTAGTTAGTTAGTTAGTTAGTTAGTTAGTTAGTTAGTTAGTTAGTTAGTTAGTTAGTTAGTTAGTTAGTTAGTTAGTTAGTTAGTTAGTTAGTTAGTTAGTTAGTTAGTTAGTTAGTTAGTTAGTTAGTTAGTTAGTTAGTTAGTTAGTTAGTTAGTTAGTTAGTTAGTTAGTTAGTTAGTTAGTAGTTAGTTAGTTAGTTAGTTAGTTAGTTAGTTAGTAGTTAGTTAGTTAGTTAGTTAGTTAGTTAGTTAGTTAGTTAGTTAGTTAGTTAGTTAGTTAGTTAGTTAGTTAGTTAGTTAGTAGTTAGTTAGTTAGTTAGTTAGTTAGTTAGTTAGTTAGTAGTTAGTTAGTTAGTTAGTTAGTTAGTTAGTTTGTTCATTAATTAATTACATTGGAGATCAGAGGTCAGATCATTGGAGTTATTTAGTTCATTACTTAGTTTATTTTTCCCCAGTATCTGGTGGCAATCGAACCCACGACATCAAGATATCAATATAACACTACTTCCTAACCTACCGGAGGCACCCAAGTTTTAAATTTCTCTTCCCTAAATAAGTTTTCCTCCAATTGATCAACTTGATTTATAACTCTGCCACAGTTCACCTAAAACATAACACTCCTTTGGTCAAAGTTTAAGAACTCCTCATAATTAGATTAATACCACCATATAAAACATGGTCAAATATTTGTTACAATAAATGTTTGCTTGTATGCAATTTGTTTTAATTTTCGAAACATTTGTCCATCCATTCTAAACGACACTATTTAATTCCAGTATTTAATCAGGCATGTGTAAAGCAAAAAATATAGTTTATTTTAATAAATATGTATTTGCATTTACGAATAATTTGTCATTATACCTTTGATAAGATAATGAATACAAATTGTTTTTAACTGCAAATTATTGTATTTATATGTATTAATTAATAAATACTCACATACATACATATGTACATAAGTACACGTGCTAGTGTAAATACACATATCTGGTTCAAAATTAATTAATATTTTACATGGATTATTTATCCACTAAGTTATTGATAATACAGATAGTACATCTAAAAGTAATGACTTCACATTATTTAAAGACTTCCTTTAAAACATATATTAAGCCGGAGTTTTGAAATTTAAGTTATTGAATTATTTCACCTTGAAAAGTCAATGCAAATGCCATCATGACAAATGCTGCAAAATCAACAATATCCGTTGTAGTGCAGGTAATAGTATCACCGATTTGAATGCACTTCAACAGTATCCATTCATTTGTAAAATATAACAAGACAAGAATAGAGAATCGTCATCATTACTTCATTATCACTTTCAGCGTCAGCGTCATCAACATATCTTTAGGAAACCTTTGTTTTTATGGGATCAGCGTCGGACCAGCAGTTCTATAAAACGTCAATGTACCTCTTTAACTTTAACCCAATAATTAAAAATACTGTTTTTAGGTTGAATGACTTTTGGTTCTTTTCCCGTTTTTACAATGCACTTTTTCGATGCAGGGACAACTTTTTTGTAGGTGTACAGATAACCGACTATACCTTTAATTGTTTTTAATGATTTAAATCTTAATAGTTTTAAGTAATACAAAATTCCTTTTGGCCGTTTAAATTCCCATTATTTAACTGTTATTTTTTTTTTTAAATGGCAACACTTAATTATTTTTGTACTCAAGTACTACTTACTATGAGCTTAAAATACTTGAAATAATAGAAAAAACGTTTACATTACACAATCATAATTTTAATCTCATATTTTTTGTATTTCTTTTCTACTTCCAGTTTTCATCTTTGTCTTACCACACACACACCCACACACACTCAAGCAACTTTAAAAAACCTTTTTTATTATTTTTAGCAAAGTACTTGCTCGCAAGGACAAAACACCAAATATGATGACACAAAAGAAATTCGTTGGTTGTATTTTGTCAGCAGCGTTGCTGTGCTTGTGGTTGGTCTCATACGCAGAGGCAGCACCCATGCCAAGGTAGTGGTATTTTTTATAAGAAATTTTAATTAAAATAATCATTGTAATCATCATTTCCGGCACAGAAAAAGAAAATAACATTCATATGTTAGAGTTAATAGTGAAATAACTGAAGTATAAGTATGATTTATTATTTCAAGAGTTTTTTGGCAACAAAATTACATTTCAATGAGTAAGATGTTTGTATTTTATACGAAAAAATTATAATTAAATGAAAATTAATAATTATAAATGAAATGGCAAAAGTGGATTCAGTAGTTTTAAATGAAATTATATTCATTTGTGTTTTAAATAGCAAATAGCCTCTAGACTACAGACTACAATATAGACTAGACTATAGACTAGACTATAGACTAGACTATAGACTAGACTATAGACTAGACTATAGACTAGACTATAGACTGTAACGTTAAAAGTCGTCGCCTCGTTTTTAACGTACAATTATTTTTTATTATTATTTTATTTATATTTAATAATCGAATTAAAAATACTTTTCTTTGTTTTATAATTTAACGACTATTTACTTATTTATGCAACGCCACCTGGGTGTAAAAGAAATTTAAATTACTTTATAGAATTTTTTAAATTTAACGTTTATATGGTTAAGCAATGCCATCTAGGTGTAAGAATCCTACTTAGTTAAGATCGTAAACCTTTAAAATACAACAATGTATACTAAGATACCATTATAAGCAACCATGTACTTGACTGCGAAAATTTAATATAAAAGGAGTCATAGTTAAGTAGAGTAAGTCAGTCTTCGCCGAGCTTCGAGTTAGGTAAGACAAGTTACTTGTACGGTGGTTGGACCGCTGGCAAATAATTTATCTTATTAAATGAGCTATTGTGAAGCAATGATTCTGGTGGTTGGACCGCTACGAACCTTTGCTTAAGAATACTCTTTATTAGATGAAGTGTGGTTGTTGCGGAGTTTGGAATTCCCAACAACACACTTATCTGACGTGGGGGAGTTTCTCCGCTAGTGTTACTCTCGTGGTTGGACCGCAAGAGTGTATCTGCTTGTGAGAACTCCATGAAGCAAGGTTGAGGTTTAAGTGAGAAATAAACTTTATAACGTTGTGAAAAATACGTGTTGTTCTTATTTCTCTCGGTCTACAAAAATATAAATTTTTGTAATGAACCACTGGCACCGGCAAGTATACCCCAGCCAGAGACAACGTTACAATGGCGCCCGAGCAGGGACCGAGAGATTAAGAAAGTGGTGTTAAAAAAAAAAAAAGGGAGTTTACAAAAAAAAAACAAAAGTAGACTGTATCAAAACTGTGAATGATTGAACAAAAAGAACATAATAAGAGAACTGTGTTAAAAGAAAAATATTATTATAAAATAATGATCGCGAAAGGAAACAAGAATTAAAAACAAATAGAACTAACTGAATTAAAAACTTTAATTGTGCGTGGAATCGTGTTTTATCCTTGTTTTATGTTTTATAAAAAAAATAAAAGAATTACGGTGAAAAAAAAAAATATAATATAATATGTTGAAATCAAGTTGGGCATATACTTTAAAACGTGACGAACTATCGTCTTATTTAAATGAATTTAAATTAGATACCGTCGGAACGGTCGAAGAACTCAGAAAAAGATTAGCGAAATTTATTAGCGCCGAACACGACGAAGATGAAACTAAACGATTATTAGAGATACAATTAACACATGAGCAAAATTCATTAGCGTTACCTGGTTCGAGAAACGGTACCACCCCTTCACCTGTTAAAATAGAATTAAATCATCCGGTTAGTCAACCATCAGTAGCAGTGTCGGTTCCAGCTTGTGACACAGATAACATCAAAGCAAATTTAATTGAATATGTAAGAAAATGGGGACTTTCGTATGATGGAGGACGGGAGCCTTTAGCATTCATCGAACGAATAGAAGAATTAGCCGAAATTTATAACGTACCTTTAAATCAATTTCCACGAATTATGCCTGAATTTTTACGTGATAGAGCACTTATCTGGTTTAGAAATAACAATAGACACTGGCAAGTATGGAGATCATTTAAATCCGATTTTTTATCATTTTTTCTACCTTCGAGATATTTTGAGAAATTAGAAGATGAAATCCGTAAAAGAATTCAACGTCCAAGAGAAGTTTTTAAAAATTATGTTTTATCAATTCAAAATTTAATGCGCCATTCTAACTTATCAGAAGAACAAAAGTTGCAGCGAATATTTCAAAATGCTCTTCCAGACTATCAGTGGTATATTAAACGAAAAGATTTCTCATCCTTAGCTGAATTAATAACATTAGCTGAAGATTTAGAAAGCATTCCATCAACACATTCACAAACTCGCGTAGAAAACCCACGTGCTTTAGCCAGTACCACAATAGGCCCAGAAAATAATTGCTATCGTTGCGGTAACCCTGGACATTATGCAGCAAGTTGCTCTAGTAATTATAATAACCGCTCGGGAAATGCTTCTGGAGGTCGTCGGAACTGAGGGACGACGAGCCTCCGAAAACGCAACCCTCAAATAATAATACTAGTTTACAAAGTGAAGATTCGCGTTTAACCGCCTCAATACTATTATGTGGAAAAATCGTCAAAGCAACTATTGATACCGGAGCGAGTAGAAATTTTATCCAAGAAGATTTTGTGAAAACGCTTAGCAAAAATCCAACGTATTTAAATGAAGACATCGATGTAATATTGGCAGATGGCTCTGCCAGATCCTTATCACGAGCCGTAGAATTTAATGTGGTACTAGGAAATATTTCAAAAACTTGTAATTTTCTAGTGATGTCAGAAACTAGCGAAAACATTATTGTGGGATTAGATTTTATGCGTATTTTCAATACAACTATTCACATGGCTGGTTTAACACTAGACTGTACTAAGACAGAAGCAAAGTGTATGAGTGTGGATGAAATCAGCAATGAGGAGATACCTCGAGAAGACAATGAAGAACGTAATCATGATAGTAATATAATATTAAAGGAAGAAACCCAAGATATCATCAACAAATTTCTAGAAAATGAGCTGTCCAAATTTCAAAATATGCATGGTCTATCAACAATTACAACTCATAAAATAATCGTCACGGATGATCGCCCTGTTAAAATTCGTTACACCCCCAGAAACCCTGCTATGCAAAATATAATTGATGCTGAAATCAACAAATTAATTTCACAAGGATGTATAGAACCGTCACATAGCCCATATTGCTTTCCAATCACCCTTGTAAAGAAGAAAAACGGAACCTGGAGAACATGTATGGATTTTCGACAATTAAATGCTAGGTCAGTACCTGATGCATACCCTCTTCCACGTATAGACAGTATTTTAAACCGACTTCGAGAAGCAAAATATATCAGTAGTCTAGATTTAAAAAATGGATATTGGCAGATACCAATGGATGAGGATAGTAAAAAGTTCACTGCTTTTGCTGTTCCTGGCCGTGGTTTATACCAGTGGCGAGTAATGCCATTTGGACTTCATTCTGCGCCAGCAACTTTCCAACGTGCATTAGATAGTATAATCGGACCCGAAATGGAACCCCATGCTTTCGCATACCTTGATGATATCATTGTAGTAGGAAAAACTCTAGAAGAACATATGAATAACCTAAAAGAAGTCTTTCATAGACTGAGAAATGCAAATTTAAAAATTAATGTAGAGAAATGTAAATTCTTCAAAAGTGAAACAAAATATTTGGGACATGTTGTGAGTGAGGAAGGTATAAAAACTGATCCGGATAAGGTATCCGCAATCGCAAAAATTCAAGTCCCGAATAATGTTAAAGATGTTAGAAGATTTTTAGGAATTGCCTCGTGGTATCGTAGATTCGTACCAGATTTCGCAACCATATCGCAACCGTTAACACAACTATTAAAGAAAGGTAAACACTGGAGATGGGAGGCTGATCAGCAACAATCATTTGAATTATTAAAAACCAAACTTACGAAAGCACCGGTATTAGCATGTCCGGATTTTGCAAAAACATTTACATTACAAACGGATGCTAGTAACTATGGATTAGGAGCTGTTTTAACTCAAGAAATTGAAGGTAGTGAAAGAGTAATAGCTTACGCTAGTCGTCATCTCAACGGAGCGGAGAAGAACTATTCAGCGACTGAAAAGGAATGCTTGGCCATTTTATGGGGCATTCGGAAAATGCGAGCTTATGTAGAAGGTTATAAATTCGTAGTCATCACCGATCATCTAGCTTTAAAGTGGCTAAATTCTATAGAGAGTCCTGCCGGCAGATTGGCCCGATGGGCACTTGAACTACAACAATACAATTTCACAGTAAAATATAGAAAAGGTAAACACAACATCGTCGCTGACGCACTATCACGCAATCCAGTAGAAGTTGCAAACTTAGTTAACTGTGAACCATTAAAAACAAACGAATGCGCGTGGATTCAGAAAATGAAGAAGAAAGTGAAAGAGAACCCTATAAAATACTCTGATTACGCAATTGTTGAAAATCAACTATACCGCCATTTCCCACAAGAGTTAAGAGATGGAGATGGTACTTCGTGGAAATTATGTGTCGCTGTAGATCTAAGGAATAGAGTTCTTCAAGAAAATCATGACAGTGCCACTGCTGGACACCTAGGAATACGTAAAACAATAAATAGAATCGCTAACCGTTACTATTGGCCGGGAATGTCGAGAGATGTAAATCGTTATATTCGACGATGTATGTCCTGTCAACGTTACAAGATAAGTCAACAGAAACCAGTTGGAGAAATGTTAACAAGATTGCCTGATGAACCATGGGCTACCCTTTGCGCTGACTTTGTAGGTCCCTTGCCCAGGTCAAAACATGGAAATACTATGTTATTGGTTTTCTTTGATAAATTTTCCAAGTGGACTGAGTTGGTGCCGATGCGTAAAGCTACTACAGATGGAGTAATAAAGTCGTTTCGTGAACGAATACTTTCTCGATATGGTATTCCTAAAGTCTTAATAACAGATAATGGAACACAATTTACCTCAAGGAATTTTAAACGTTTTCTAAATGAATTAGGCAT